ACGGACTGCTGTTATCGGTGCGGGGAACCTGGTCACCTCGCCCGGAACTGTCCCGCACCTAGTCCTCGGAGCCGAGTGACATCACCGACGGGAAACGGCCACGGGGTGGGACAGTGAGGGAACCCCCACCCCAATCGTTAAACCCTCTCCATGACACTCATCCCGTGGTGGGCCGCTGTGGGTCCACCCGTGGACTGTACCTGGACTGTATAGTTGATGGACGGTCTTGCCGGGCCCTGGTAGACATGGGGTCCACCATCTGCTTGCTGCGAAGGGGGGTGCTCCCGGAGACGGGTGGCTCATTGCCAAAAGACTGGACCCCTACTCACACAGCGTTGTACACTGTCACAAGAGAAAAGACCGTGATGCCGGGGAAAAAGACTCTGCAGGTGGTGGTGGGAACGAACAGTGTGAACCATGAGTTCTGGCTTGCCGACATAACAGACGAGTGCATTGTTGGACTGGACTTGCTGGCCCACTGGGGGGCACGGGTCGATGTACCGGGAGTTGCCATCCACCTTGGTGCTGAGACCGTGCAGCTTCAAGTGGGCCGCGGTAGCCAGGGACAGACCCCCACCCCACCAGCACCCCCAAAGCCCTTACGCCCCGCAGCTCCATGCCACAGCCAGGGGCCGAGGGCGGCAAGGGTGCGGAAGAGGACCCAGGGGGTGGACGTAAGCAGGGCCAACATCCCGCAGCCAGAGTCGCCGCCTAGCTCGGCAGTCTCCCCGTCACCTGAGACTGTCGCGGCAGTAGAGGAGCTTGGGCGGCGAAGTGGGGTGCACCTCAGTGCGACACAGCAGCAGCAGTTGCAGAGCCTCTTGGCAGAGTTTATGGACACTTTCGCCGCCAGGGAAGAGGACTGCACAAGGACGGGCCTGGTGCAACACACTATAGACACTGGAGCAGCTGCTCCAATCCGGCTGCGGCCCCACCGCCTGCCCCTCGCCAAACGCCAAGCTGCCGAGGGACTGATAAAAGAGATGGCAGCTAATGGCGTCATTGAACCCTCGGATAGTCCATGGGCCGCACCTATGGTTATGGTGCGGAAGAAAACAGGGGGGTGGCGCCCTTGTGTGGACTACAGGCGTCTGAACGCGGTCACCCGCAAGGACTCTTACCCGTTACCTCGCATCGATGACGCACTGGATTACATCGCTGGGTCCAGTTGGTTCAGCTCGCTAGACCTCCGCAGTGGGTACTGGCAGGTGGAGCTCGCTGCCGAGGCGCGGCCCAAGACTGCATTCACCATAGGGCAAGGACTGTGGCAGTTTAAGGTGATGCCTTTTGGACTATGCAATGCACCAGCCACGTTCGAAAGGTTAATGGAAAGGGTCCTCAAAGACATTCCCCGTGCCCGCTGCGTGGTCTATTTGGATGACTTGCTGACTCATGCTAAGGACTTTGAACAGGCCGTGGCCAACCTACGAGAGGTTCTGACTGCCATCCGCGGGGCCGGACTAAAGCTGAACCCGGCCAAGTGCAACCTTCTTGCTCGCCAGGTGAAGTTCCTGGGACATGTGGTGAGCGAACAGGGGGTGGCTACTGACCCCGAGAAGGTGGTTGCTGTGGGGGACTGGCCTACCCCATCGAACGTCGCCGAGCTACGAAGCTTCCTGGGGCTGGCCTCCTATTACAGGAGGTTTGTAAAAGACTTTGCCACCGTCGCTAGCCCCTTGCATCAGTTGACAAACAAGGGTCAGCGGTTTGGTTGGACGGAGGGCTGTGCAACGGCTTTCGAGCAGCTGAAAACTGCCCTTGTGAGTGCCCTGGTCTTGGCGTATCCTGACCCCAGCCAGCCTTTCATTTTGGACACCGACGCCAGCAACGTGGGGGTCGGAGCGGTGCTCTCCCAGAGGGGAGAGGCTGAGGAGCGAGTGGTGGCATACTACAGCTGCAGCCTCAGCCGGGCCGAGAGGAATTACTGTGTTACCCGGCGTGAGCTGTTGGCTGTGGTCCTGGCGGTTCGTCACTTCCGACCTTACCTCCTGGGCACTAAGTTCCTGCTCAGGACAGACCACGCCAGCCTAACCTGGATGCTGAACTTTCGCCAGCCAGAGGGTCAGGTGGCCCGGTGGCTGGAAATACTACAAGAGTACGACTTTGAGGCCCAGCACCGACCAGGGCGGCAACACGCCAACGCTGACGCCCTGTCCAGGCGCCCCTGTTCTGCGGATGAGTGCCGGTACTGCAGGCGCATGGAGGAGCTGGACCGGGGTCCGACATCGGCAGCAGCAGAACCTGAGGGTGTGGGTGAAGGGCAGGAACCTTTCACCGCGGCGGAGCTACAGCAGCACCAGGTGAGCGATCCAGCGCTGGAGATGGTGAGGGACTGGATGGAGGCAGGGACACGGCCAGACTGGTCCGCCGTGTCTTCCCAAGGGCCCGAGACAAAGTCGCTGTACTCCCAGTGGAACAGCCTGGAGCTCCATGGCGGTGTAATCTACCGGCGGTGGCGAGCGCCAGACGGGGGAGGCGACATACTCCAGCTCCTGGTTCCCCGGGCCTTGCGGCCTGAGGTCCTCCGCTGGGTCCATGGGGCTGCAGGTACTGGCCATTTTGGGAATGGCAAGACGTTGCGACGGCTGAGACGGCGGTTCTACTGGCCGGGGTGTCGTCAGGACGTGGAGATCCACGTCCACTGCTGTGACGACTGCACGGCGCAGAAAGGTCCCAGCCAGCGCTCCCATGCCCCATTGCAGCAATACCTAGTTGGGGCGCCAATGGAGCGGATTGGAGTGGATATCCTGGGTCCATTCCCTGTGACTGATGCCGGCAACCGGTATGTCCTGGTCGCGATGGATTATTTCTCAAAGTGGCCAGAGGCGTACGCGGTGCCGGACCAGAGTGCGGTGACGACGGCGCGGACTCTGGTGGATGAGATGTTCACGCGGTTTGGTGTACCGGAGGAGCTCCATAGCGACCAAGGGAGGAACTTTGAGAGCCAGGTGCTGGGAGAAGTGTGTCGGAGGCTGGGGGTGAGAAAAACGAGGACCACCCCCCTCCATCCTCAGAGCGATGGTCTGGTTGAGCGGTTCAACCGCACGTTGGCCACCCAGCTGGCCATCCTGACCAGCCAACATCAGAGGGACTGGGACCAACACCTGCCCCTTGTTTTGTGGGCATATCGAACAGCAGTGCAGGAGTCAAGTCAGTGTACTCCTGCGGCGTTGATGTTCGGAAGGGAGCTCCGGACCCCGGTGGACTTGGTGTTCGGAGCGCCCCCTGAGCCGGAGATTGCTGGTGGACCAGAGATGGACTACTTCCGGCGGCTCAGGGAGCGGTTGCACACGGTGCATCAACTGGCAAGACGGACATTGGAGGGAGCCGGGGCCCGCCAGAAACGGGCGTATGATACCCGTGCGCACGGTCCTATGCTGGGGGCCGGAGATCGGGTCTGGGTGTTCTGCCCCCAGAGGAAGCGGGGGCTGACCCCCAAGCTCATGAGCCACTGGCCAAATCCTGGAGCAGCTGTCGGAGGTGGTCTTCAGAGTCCGGATGCCGGGGCGGGGAAGGCGGGTGGTGCTACACAAGGACCGGCTGGCGCCATACCATCCGCTTGCCCCCAACCCGCAGGCTGGTGTGCAGCCTGGGGACTCCTCGCCCCCTACGCCCGGCCCGGAGGGGGGCGCCATGGATTCCCAGTCGAGGCCGAAGCGTACTCGACGCCGGCCCGGACATTTGCTGGACTACATTGTGGACAGTTAAGGTTGTGGGGACACTAAACCTTCTTGGGAGGGGGCTGTGTAATGACCTGGCTGGGGTTGTTAGCCAGGTGCATTCTGGGTATTGTGTTGTCTCTGTGTTTTCTATCGTTCTGCTAGTTCATATGTGTTGATTTGCATGTTGTGTTAGTGTTATGTTAATGTAAGCCACAGTGAAGTTGATGTGTGTTCTGTGGAGGGGGGTGAATTGGCATAGTTGGCTGACACCGTGACTCTATGTGGTGGGAGCGTGATAGGGGTTCGGTGTCAGCAGTGTTACGTTGTGTGAAAAAAATACGGCAAATAAATGACTGGTGTGAACCACTACTGCCTCCTGCTGGATCATTTGGGGATTATCAGTCTGCTGCTGAGACGCTCGGGGTCGTGCGGTGTATGAGGCACGAGCGCTCTCCACTCGCTGTGAAGTGTAGCGATAGCCGCTAGCGCCCCGCTAGCCGTTTTAGCTAGTGAGCAGTTTAGCCAGTTTAGCTCCACTAACCCACGGTCGTTACAATATATATATATATATATATATATATATATATATATATATATATATATATATATAAAACACCCAGCACACCCCTGCGGGCGGTTTATCCTTCAAGCTCGGGTCCTCTACCAGAGGCCTGGGAGCTTGAGGGTCCTGCGCAGTATCTTAGCTGTTCCCAGGACTGCGCTCTTCTGGACAGAGATCTCCGATGTTATTCCCGGGATCTGCTGGAGCCACTCGCGTAGCTTATATATATATATAAGATAAGATAAGATAAGATAACCTTTATTAGTCCCACACGTGGGAAATTTGTTTTATATATATATATATATATATATATATATCTGACAATACTATAATATTGGCCATATTATATTTACATTACCACAGTGAGATGACTTTAGTCTCATGAACAACAAGAGCTAATTGTCATTTACTAACTACTCTTGAACTGACTGTTCAGTACAGAAATGAAGCCCAACAATCATGTTTTACAGTCCCGTAGTCTCAGCCTCAGATACTCAACTAATCAAAGTTATGTCATGACAAAAATGAATGACCAAATGACCAACAAAACATTTTTCTCCTTCATTTATGTCATACTATCTCGCGTTTCTCGCGGTTAGTATCATGGTTGCTAGGCAACCTGAACAGCGCGACGAAGGCCAGACCGTCCCATTTCACAAGACTCTCACTTCCGCACTTCTCGTACTTATAGTACGCACCGTACGTAGTACGCGTAGTGCGCGTACTTCAAGCGTGCAGACCCTGAATTGGGACACAGCCTAAGTACGCACGCAGGAGCTTTCTGATTGGTTCTCACCTCCGTCGCTCTATTGATGATGTCCTTCCTGTTCACCCTAAGAACACGTGTAGGGTGTACATTTTCGAGCTGAGGGGAATAACGGCAACAAAACATCGCCGTTCAGACACCTTCGTATTTTTTTTCTGTGGAAGGCTTTACCGAGTAAGAGGGCAACATGGTGAAGACACGGTACAAGGGGAAAAGCTCAATAAACCCCTCAACATCCAGCAGCAACCCCGGTGAGCTAACTCTCCCATTAGCCAAACTGCTTGTTTACAGCTAATGCTAATTGTTGCTAGTCATTGTCAGAGAAAGTCATATTTGCGTTATTTTAGATAATAATAGCGTTGCGTATCAAAATAAGACTTCACAGCGGTGTGATGAATCTAAAACTTAACTTACACTGTTGCGTACTGTAGGAAGATATAGCCTTTTAAGTTTTGTCGTGTCAAACACCTGTTTTATGAAAGTTAAACATATTTACGGTAAAATCTGAGCTGCAATCTTGGGGTGGAAAATGATGCTCCTTTAAAAATGAACGTGTACGGTGTGTCTGGTTAGTAGTCATAACTAGCAATGCAGTATATCTTGATAGGAATTATAAAGTTACGTGTTTGTATAAGCTGTTAACAGCACTATACCGGCACCTTACACTGAAACCCAGTCATTTGTTCAGCACATTTAAAACTGTTTAAGGTAATAAAACATGAATGTTGTTGCACGGTCCTTAAAAAAAAAATCAGAGGCCTTAGTTGATTATAAATATGGTATTTCCCTTGCAATAAATTGAGTAACAAGTAAGTGCATTGTAATAACATGTGGGTTTCGTTAATGAGCCGTTAAAGTAAACATAAATTTATTCGACAGATCGAGCCAAAGGTGCTGGTGGAAACAACATGAGGGACCGAGCCACTATCAAGCGCCTGAATATGTACAGACAAAAACAAAGATGGTAAGCAAATATTTTTCTTTTCTTTTTTATTGATATAGTTTACTGTTACAATGTAACGTAAGTGATGTGTCAAGAATTAAAGAGATCTTTTGTCCACAGTGATAGCCGTGGAAAAGTCGTCAAACCTTTACAGTACCAGTCCACAGTAGCTCCGGGAACTGTTGCCAGAGTTGAACCTAACATCAAATGGTTTGGTGAGAAATGTCTTTACTGTTGTGTATGTTATAGTGTATACTGTAAATTAATTAAATTGGAGGTAATACCATTTGCTCATATGTTGCTCTTGTTTGAAATATTGTCAGTTGAATTTGTAAAAATAAAATGTTCACTACAATAATACCATATCATTTTTATTCTTATTATATGACTATCCCATATTTCTATACTCTGTATTTAAGCAAATACCCGTGTGATCAAGCAGTCATCCCTCCAGAAATTCCAGGAGGAGATGGAGGCAGTAAAGAAGGATCCATATCGTGTGGTGATGAGACAAAGCAAATTGCCTATGTCCCTTTTGCACGATAGAGTCAAAGCCCATGTGAGTATAAAGGCTTTAAAGCTTATTCTTGTAAGATTTTTATTATATATGTATGTATTGTTATGAACAGTCACCACCAACACACTGAAATTAAAATGAAGCAGTTGAGATGTGTTTGAATTGCAGAGGTGACATCTTAATTCAAGGAGTTTAACAAAAAATATTGAATTTGTTGTTTAGGAATTACATGTATTTTTATCCATAGTCTTCCATTTTCAGAGGCTCAGAAAAAATAAATAATAATAACTGGATGTGAAACGCTGTCAGGTATAGACCTAACTGTATAATTAAAATGCAAACCTTGGGATCTAAACATGATAACAAAATAATAGCAAAACAACAAATTGTGCCAACAAGGGTAAAAAACAAAAACAAGAGATTTAAAAGAGGACACACAGTTTGCTTGCCTGAGATGTCTAACCATGGCATTACTGGGCGTAGGGACCCAGACAACAAAGGCCAACTACTGCAGTAAGAAAACACAAGTAAGCCTTCCAGGATCTCTAACAGCAGCACATGGGGAGTTAGGTGGTTCCAGCTGTGGTGTGGAGGCGAGTCTTTATCGGCTACCTCAGAATTTTAATAAAGGTCAGCAAGGATGGATGTAATATATCACTTTTCCAAGTATGTGTTAATAGCCTGGCAAAATAAAGTGCATTGCATTGATAACAGTATAATGGCAGCATTTATTAAGCTTGCTTTCTCAGAGTTTTACAGGCAACTTCTTAATTGCCTCTTGGGGGTGAATAAAGTCTTCTGATTCTGATTCTGAAACTGCAGATGCCAGGGAGTGTACTTCATCTGACACTGCTTTCTATTTCCGTGTGGATGGAGTGTACCTGAAAGTCGGCACAGAGCCTGTGACAAAATTAATGTTTAAAGAACAAGGCCGCAGAAGAAAGGAATAACTTAATATTAGATAGCTGTCTTTGCAAGTAAGGCTGTTTGGTCAGCTGAGAATGTAAGGAGTCTAAAAATAACTTAGACATTGCATTATTTCAAACATTAATAAGCAACGCACCCTCAATAAAAGAGAAACTAATAATGTGGTTCGTGCTGAGGCTAAAAGGATAAGTTTCCATGGATTTGAAGTAAATCAGCTGCAGGGTATTTTGGGGTATCCTATTTTTATTTCAGCGAAGCAGGCAGACATCAAAGGTAAAGGGCTACATGTGGGGGGGAGGAAATCAACCGAAACTGCTCTAGCAAACACACTTCTTCACGTTACTTTATAAGATGTTGTGGTCTGGTGTATCTTCTGATACAGTAGCTGACTGGGGCAGTCGTAGTGATGCATAGTAAAAACGGGATTTAACCCCCCCCCCCCCCCCCCCCCCCAAGAAGAAATAAATAAATAAAAATAAAATCAAAGATTATGTTATTAATAAATAAAGTATGTGATTTAAAGTGTTCTGTAAGCTTAAATATAAATAGCTCTTTGCACATGGGTCTAAACTTGCTTACGACAGTGGGATTAAGAGAGTGATTCTTTTAAAGGGGTTAACAAGTGGCATGTTTAAAATTTGAGTAGGAAATAACCAGTAAGTGGAATGCGTTTAATAATGACTAAAGTAAGTAATGCAGATAAAGATCATAGCTATTTTCGTCTGTGTGAGTAAACTCTTTCTTGAGGCTTCATGAGGTGAGACGAATAAGAGGACTCACTTTAATCCTCATACAATTTTTCCTCTGCCCTACTGTGAACCTGAATGTACTGGCTTACGCTAGGCATGAGAGAGCTGCCTTCATCCAGACTTGGATTTTTTTTCCCTTCAACATAACCAACACAGTTCTAAATAAAATCCAGTTCTTGTTCTTGTGCCATGTGCTATAGTCCCTCATGAAGTTGAGGCATTTCTTAGAGTGTGAAAGAGTTCAAAATAATCTCTTAATTCATCACCGGGTTACCAGAAGATGACCTTTTATTATTTTTATTAATATTACAATTATGTAACTAAATGGCACAGAAGTGCTAGTAAAGTATGAAAGTGCTCTGTAATCTTAATGTATGATCACTGAATGACCAGTGGAATGATATTGCTCCAAAAGGCAGACAAATTAAGCAAGAGCCAGTGGTTCAGTCAGAAAAATGTGTTTTCAAACAACCAGAGTGCTTTGTAGGACCTCTTGGCAGATAGTTGAGGTGACCTGAGGCTGTAAACAGTGTTGTTTCTGACTAACCTGCTCCTCCACCCCTCGTGGCAGTTTTGCAATAGAGGTATGGCGTGTGTTTTAAGATCGCTGGAACACTTAATCAGCACTGGCATAGTCTTTGCTGTTTCACTGGCTTTGTCGCATATTTGGGTGTTCTGTTTAATATATTCATTTATTGTGTGTTTCTGACTGAAACTGTTGGAGAGCTGTTTGTGACTGTATCACAAACTGTGTTTTAACATTGGAAAAAAAAGAGCTTTATGTTTCCTCTCTGCTTAAATACAGCATGATAATGTTAAATTTAAATGGATTTTGCAGTCCAGCTTCAACATCTGGATCCTTTAAGTGTGTTGTTCATGCTGGAAAGAACAAAGTCCAAACTTAATAAAACCACAGTCATAATTCTATCTGATTTTGTAAATAAATGATATAAGGTCCTGCTGTAAGTATATTGCTGGCAGAGCTATTCACTGTTAATATAAAAACTTTTTTTTTTTTTTTTATCACAAAATGTTCTATCTTTCTATAATTGCAGAACTCTAAGGTTCACATTCTAGACACGGAGGGTTTTGAGAACACTTTTGGACCTAAGGCTCAAAGGAAGAGGCCCAGTCTTGTTGTGGGCGATGTCAAGGACCTTGTAGAGCAAGCTGAGGCCTCAGCCCTAAGTTATAATGCAGAAAATGACAAAGACCTGGTTACCGAGGACACAGGGGTCCGGTAAGAATTTTCTTTTTGTTTCTTCTTTCTTTGTTTTTTTTGTTTTTAAATGCATTTTTAAATGCATTTAAAGTGTCGTTAAATCCCTGCTACTTTTTTATTCACTAAAGGGCGGAAGCACGTGAGGAGATTTTCAAAAAGGGTCAGTCCAAGAGAATCTGGGGAGAACTTTACAAGGTATCGTCTCCACCTTGTGTAGTATGTTAGTGCAGTAAAGTGTTGTGTGGTCATTCTCGAGTCCTCTTTTATTTTTACAGGTGATTGACTCATCTGATGTCATCATCCAAGTGCTGGATGCCCGAGATCCTATGGGAACACGGTCTAAGAGCATTGAAACGTATCTAAAGAAAGAGAAATCCTGGAAACATCTGATCTTTGTTCTAAACAAGTGTGACCTTGTGCCCACCTGGGTCACGGTAAGATATTTACAGCACACCCCCTGGTTTCCTGTATGACTGGTTGTAGTTGCTTTTCTTAGTATTAAACTTGGTCTCTGCTCATTGTTAAACCAGAAACGTTGGGTGGCTGTTCTGTCTCAAGAATATCCCACTTTGGCTTTCCACGCCAGCCTCACAAACTCATTTGGTAAGGGCTCTCTCATCCAGCTGCTCAGGCAGTTTGGCAAGGTAAGAAATGCTTTTTGTTCGAAATGCAAAAACTTTCACAAATAAAATATTTGAGTTGTTTTATTATATAGAGTTTTAAAAAATACATTTATCATCATGTTGTTGTGCAAGATAATAGATTTGTCAACTGGTAGTAATTTGTAACAACTTAATGTGTATATAGCTGTGAACACAATATCTGATGCTTAATTAGGTTAGCTGGGACACTGTAGGCATTTAATGAGCAGTATTTAATGTGTTAATGTTAGAATCACAAACATTGGAATAAACATATCTGTTTGATGACAAGCTACATTGGTTTGTCAATTGTGCATTATTATTGTTTTGCATCATATTTCCTTTCGATTTTTAAACACTTTACTAAACTGTAAAATATGCTTTTAGGTCTTTAAGTAGTTTACATTGACACAATATATTAATTTAGCTGCAGTAAACCACCACAGTGGAGTTTCAATCAAGCTGTAACTGAAGATTGACAGGCTGTCTGCTTTAAATCAAGGGGTTTACCAAAAGTATTGCATTAACTTTTTATAAATCACATCCATATACAGTCCCCCATTTTCAGAGGCTCAAATGTAATTGGCTAATTGACTGAAAGGTAGTTTCATGGTTAGGTGAGTCCCGTTCCTTTGTTATTCCATGACAAATTAAACAGATAACTTATTCGGATCATTTACAACAAGGTACAAACCACTGGTTACAACATTAAAAGGGCAGGTTAGACCATATCAGAGGACATGTGAAAGAGTCTCCGCAGTTCTGGAAAACAAATCACTGAAAACCGAGATGAACTTTTATCAGAGTAATGGATAGAGAAAAGTATAGAGAAGGAGAGAAACAGCGCATGAGCTGATTAATCCCACATTATATTTCAAACATAGTAGAAGCAATGTCATAACATAGACATGTATGGCTGCCAGTGGACATGGACCACTTGTGTTTACTGATGATGTGACTGCTGATATAAGTAGCAAAATGAATTTGCACTTCACTGCGCAAATGGATAATGATCCAAAACATACTGCAAAAGAAACCCAAGAGATTCTCAAGGCAAATCAATGGAATATTCTTCACTGGCCAAGACAGTCACCTGATCTCAACCCAACATGAACATGCTTTTGAGTTACAGAAGACAAAACTGAAGCTATTTTTCAAAAGAGGGCAGCAGCTGAAGACAGCTGCAGTAAAGGCCTGGTACACCATGTGAAAGAAGGACATTCAGCCTCTGGTGATGTCCATTAGTTCTAGACTTCAGGCTGTCTTTCTGAGGTTACTTTTCAGCTTCTGAAAATGGGGAACTGTGTATAAAAATGGCAGTAATTCCTGAACATTTAACTCGGTGCATTTTTGTTAAACCACTTGAATTAAAGCTGAAATGAAGCACTTTTTTTTTATCCACTGTGGTGGTCTACAGAGGCTAAACTACAAAGAATGCTTCATTGTCCCAAAACTGTGCTGTGTTCCACACAGTTACAACCATAACATTAGATTATGTATTGCCCTGACTGCCCTGGCAGCATACTTGAGAAAAGCTTGAAGAGACAACAGAGGAATTACATCCCTTCAAAGAGGACAGACAAAGACTTCCTGACTTTATTTTTCCCTCACGCAGCTCCACACAGACAAAAAACAAATAAGTGTGGGTTTCATCGGATATCCAAATGTTGGAAAAAGCTCGATCATCAACACTCTGAGGTCAAAGAAGGTTTGCAATGTTGCACCCCTCGCTGGAGAAACGAAGGTAAAATCAATGTATCGTATTAACTATACAGTAGTTAGGTTCACATGATTATATTTGGGTTTAGTCAAAGTCCCGTTGCTGCTTAATGTTGATGGCTTCAATAACAGAAGCAGTCTACCCTCTGTTTTTAAAAATATAACTGAAAAACTAAGTGGAGAGTAAAAGAGTAAAAACAACCATTTTTTATCCTTCATTTCCTCTCTCTTCATCTGTTTATCCTTTTTGGAAACAAATGAAGGGTTGAAACCTTGGCGTACAAAGACCGGTCAAGGGGAAAGTCAGGGGAAAATGGCTTTACCTTTAGAGCCAAAATTGTAAGCTTGGACTGTAACTGAGCAGTTTTTCTGCACACCTATCCAGTGACTCTCATAGGCCTGTGGCCAGCAGTGCTTTATTTCCCACCTTGTGTTTTATTCTCAGCACATACTCAGCAATTACGAAAGCCAAACAAGGTTATGATCCGTAGCACTTTCATAGATCACATACATTTTGCTTTCCCACTTATAATTCTTTCAGCAGTTTTTCCTTGTTTTAAGATTTTATATCAAATGATACCAACAAGGTGAAATGTGTTTCTCATCGTTTGTGAAACAGAATTTTATGGACCACACATACAGCGTTAATCTTTCTCTCTCTTTTGTTTAAGGTGTGGCAGTACATCACTTTGATGAGGCGCATCTTCCTCATTGACTGCCCTGGTGTTGTCTACCCCTCAGAAGACAGTGAATCTGATATTGTTTTGAAAGGAGTAGTAAGTCTGTTTTTAAAGTTTATTCCAATTGATTTTTTTTTTTTTTATTAATTAATTTGAGTTTTTTTAATGTCTGCCACTGCAGTATAATAAGAAGGGTGAATTTATTTGGACTTCCCATAAAACTAGGAAAAACAATAACATCTGAAAATCTAAGCACAGATCCGAGAAATGGTGTCCTGGTAACTTAGTATAATTCACCGAACTGTTAATGTTGTATTTTTAACAGTCTCGAGGATTCGGGAATAACGAACTGAGACTTTAAAGTGGTTTGGGCTTCATAATACTAATACCCAACTGTTTTTAAAATGTCTTTATCTGCTCTATTTCTCATCCTCGGATCCTTGTGGGGCATCCGAGGTTCAGCATTTCACCCTTAAAGTCAGCGTAACTGAAAGGTTGCACGTTCACGTCTTAAGTACTCATCTTTTTCTTTCCCCTTTTGCAAAGGTTCAAGTGGAAAAGATCAAGAACCCAGAGGAGCACATCAGTGCAGTACTGGAGCGGGCCAAACCAGAATACATTCAGAAGACCTACCGCATCCCTACTTGGAACTGTGCTGATGACTTTCTTGAGAAACTGGCGTTTCGCACAGGGAAACTTTTGAAGGTTCATTTTCTTATTTAGAGGCTATACTTGAAAACTGCTTTGTATATTTTTTCCAAACATTTGCTTTATAAGTTCTGATGATATAAAAATATATAATTTTATAGCTACAATGGAGCATTTTAACTCATTGTATGTGTAAGAGGTAATGGTTAAGGTTTACTTTTCAGCTTGGGTATTTATTGTGCTGTTTTTCTAGAACAAGTGTTTAATGCCTCTGTGTAGTTTTGTGGGGAAGTTAATGACTGCTGACTTTGCTGCAAAAGCAGGTTTTACAAACATTTTTCCCCTTAAAGTTGTGTTCCTACCAACTTCATTGTTGCACATTTCTCCCATGTATTTGAATTTAGGACTCTCCTTGAGCCTTATTTCTCTCTAAAAATGCTGTACTGTCTTGACATTTTCTCTGAAATATGGCGTAGGCAGAAATCTAGAGAAGGCAGGACTGAAACAAAACAGCCCTCCCCCCTGAGAGCTTGGGTCTTATGTATGTGCTGTGTATGCATTTAAAAAGTTACATTCACTTCATTCTCCACATAGGACACGATGAGCTCTTATTTACCAGATGGAAACTCTCTGCTTAACTGATTGTACCGCCAAACTTTCTTCTGCTTGGACTCTCTCCTTTCACTGCCAAATGTTTAAGTCTGAAAATAGAGTCCAGAAGAGCTGCAGGGCTACAGCTGCCTCTGAAACACTAGATATATATATATATTTTAAATGTATTTATTTATTGCTGCCTACTTCAGCTTTAAATCACTAAGTCTTAAGATGTCTTAGCAATCTCTTCTTGTTTTTGTACAGGGCGGTGAGCCAGATCTCGCCACAGTCTCTAAAATGGTATTGAATGACTGGCAGAGAGGACGTATCCCCTTCTTTGTGAAACCCCCTGGACTGAAGGAGATCAAGAGGTAAGATTACACTGAATTTCTCTCTAGGGCTTTTTAAGCGCACCAAACTGTGCCCTCAGTGTAAACCTGTTTTTATTGCTGTGTTTTCGCTAGGATGAGAAGCCACTGCCAGTTGCAGGACCGTCGAGGTAGTAGAGCATGTGCAGAAGGAACAACCAGACAATCGGACGCCATCTCAGAGGAACGTGAGGAAGAACAGCAGAGACAGAAGGAACAGGTCCAGAAGATTCTGGCTAATGTCAGACAAAACTTTGGCAAAATCAGTGTGGCTCCAGAGTTCAGCGAGGAAGACTTAGTTCCCATGGACATGCCTGATCTGGACATGTCAGATTTTTCTGGCTCTGATGGTGAGGAAGATGAGGGCACAGAGGAAACGAAGGCAAAGAGGAAGATGCGACAAGCGTTGAACCAGCTGATGAAGTGACTGACATCTCTGAGCCACACCTCTCGACTGAAAGACAAACGGCAGCAAGAGTTCACGGGAGTCATACGTGAGCTGGATGTGAAAATCGCCAAGTAAAGCAGTTTCTGGACCGAGCCAATCCAATCGCTTCTCTGCAATCCGTCAGTCTGCTCAAGCCCAAACCTCACTCGCATATTTTCTTTGTCTTGTGTACTGCCACCATTGTGTTTCGGTCCCAGTAACGTAATGTGAAGTTGTCAGACATAGAGATGCCACGCATTTTAGTGGTCGTGCTAACCAGCCTTGAAGCTGCTGATGACTAGCAGTGATCATTTTGATCCATAACGTTTGTGTCTTTGTGTTCTTTAATGCTTGTGTTGAATTTCAGCACACACTGAAGAACAAAGTCAAGTAACCGCTGTATAGTTAATCTGAGCCTAATTTAATTACTGTTCATTTCAGCTGACCCCAACAGGGATAAACTGTTTGCCTTGTTTTGTAATGATTTACTTTTTTCCATTTCTTTGGACAGGATACCTAAGGCGCTTTCTGACAAAGTGTTCACAGACATCAAGACTAAACAGTCAGCAGCGACTAAGCAAGCACAGAGAAAGGTAGTCAGTCAGCTTGTTTGTTATGACTTTGTATGGTTCTGGATGTAAAAATAATTTGGGAAAGGCTTTATCAGATGTGGTTAAGGTCCAATAACCTTCTGCAGTTCCAACAGATAATCAATTACTGATATTTTATCAACTTGATATTTGCACAAACTTAGATTTGAATGGGTACGTCAAGTTAACATTCAGGCAGTGACATCAGATCTGTTCATCTTTCTTTGAATTCAGCTCCAAACCAGAGGGGTAAAAGAGGAAAGCTGAGGAGGGTGAGGACCTGGCCCAGCCGAACAGACTCAGTCTAAACAGGTATGCGGGTGTTTGTTCTCTCTGATGTCAAACAGGCCAGATTTCTTGGTGAATGTTCTTCTTACTGATGTAACATTGGAAATGAAAAGCTCTGGTCTTTTTAGAAGAAGATTTCACTTTTTTCCTCTTCTGTTTCTCTTTCTTTCTCTACAGAGAAGAGCAATGGATCGTGCTCAGAGGACGAAGAAGTTGGCGTACTTATTATGAAACTCCCAATGTGAAAACAAGAACAAAAAATCCAGCATCAGGCAACAGAAGGTCAAAATCCAAAATCGAAGCACTAGACTGGAGTTGAATAAATAAAACACACATGTAAGAAATCTGTATCTAAATTAGCCTGAAGCTATTTTTATTGGATAAAAAAGGTTGGCAGAAGGTGAACACTAAGGTGTCTTAATCAACTTGATGCCTTATCTTCATGACTGTTGTAACTTTGTCCCTCAGTGCAGAACTGTATTTGAATGACATTTCATTCATCATACAAGTGTACTGCTCTCTTGACTTCAAGAGCAATGTTGCAGTAGTTGTTTGAGTGTACTTGTTTGCCAGAACAATAAAACATTTGTAAATACACTAAGTTTTACTTTAATGTATCATTAAGCAATAAGATGAATTACAGTGAACACAATCTTGTACAGAGAAATGCCAGCTAAGTGTTGTTGTTTTTGTTTTTTTACTTCTTTGTGCAATTATCTCTTCCAGTTGAGCCTGAAAAGAAAAAAGGGGTGGTTAAGAAATCTTTAGACAACACAATCTACAAGAATTATTCTCTGATATGTAATTGAAAAAGTCACCTTAAGCTGTTGGTTGGTTCTCTTTAGGAACTGGATCTCGTCATCGTGCCTCTTTTCCTCTAGCTGTCGCTTTTCAGCTTCTATCTTCTCAACTGTTTCACATTTAGCCTTCTCTTCATTCAGCGCCTTCTTCAGTTCTTGTTTCTCGTTCTCTAGCTCCAAAATCTGCCCGTATAACAACGCATACGTGTGAGTTTGTTATTGATGCAGGGTCAATCCTGTAAAAAGCACTGCAGCCACTGTCATTGTACAGTAACTGTAAAATAGAGAAATTGTGCTCTCTGCTGGACTCCTAGCTAAATGACAGCTGAACTACATGAGTGGCGAAGTAAGTTTCCCAGCATCTATAAATTGCTTAGTATTAAAATATATATTGTGACCCTGTATTTGTAACTCATAAGGAACCTGATATCCTTACTCTGTTTTTCATATCAGCTTCGCCTTCTTAGCCTGCAGTGCTTTCTCATGCCGTAAGCTATGCTGCTTTCATACACGGTCTGGTAGGCAGCAATGGTCATCTGAATCTCATCTCTGACCAGCCACAATAGCATACCCCTCTCAGCGCAGTTGATGGTTACCTGTCTGAGTAATTCATCTCAAAAGAAAAAGAATGACAAAAACTTATGTGTTATTGTATTTATGTGTATTGATTCTACCTTCTATAATCAGCAACATCTCAGCTTCTTCCTTACCAAAACACTGGGAATAGAGCTCCCTGCGGACAGGGCAGATTCCTGTTTCTTTGGCCTGTCTTTGCTGCAGTTTTGTGTTTAGGAGTTCTTCTAGGTGCAACACATCTGCTCTCGTACAAGGTGTACTGGATACTTTCTGCACCCACAGTTGGTTTCCCTCCATCCACTCCCTGTAAGAGGAAAATTTGTAAAGTTCTGAACTTGCTGAAGAACACGCTATGGATAGAAAACTCTACCTGGGTGGGAGGATTGAATTGAGGAGCTCCTCATTTTCCTGCTTAGTAGCCTCAGTAGATGCTGATTTTGGTTTAGGAGGTGGTGGAACAGGTGTAGAGTCAATGGGCTGCTGAGGGCTTACTTTCAAAGGGCGTCCCTGTAGTGACAGATGTTTCATAAACTATCAGACAAATATTATTACCCTGATTTGATTTTTTTAAATGACTGATACATTTTCGTAAATTATTAAAATACACCTTACAGAACCACCTTGTAACTGTGTATGCATGCAAATATATTAGTGGATGTAAGTAATTGCATTAAGCTTTAATCAGACTCTCGGGATCTTGGATAGCATAACTTTTACATTAATCTCAAATCTATCCCTGAGACTTGTGCCATAAACACGGCTGGCTCGATAAACTCACCTTTGGTGATTTTCTGTCTGTGCTTTTGTTGACCAGAACTGGATTGTCGTATTTCAGCAGCGTGTCAGCTGGAGGATCATTGTCGTTTACAATAGAGGAATAGAATAAACTTATACAGTAAAACCTGAAACTTCTTGGTCTAGCGTTTAGTTACATAAAGTTCACGCTCATTGTTTGGGTTGTCTTGGCAACAATGTCCGTTACGTTTTAATGTGTGCGAGCGGAATCAGCGCTTAGCTCCAGGAGTACAGGCTAGTGACACTTTTTTTTTCAAAAATTCTTTTGAGATAAATGCATTTTTATTAGTATTTTAAAAAATCTATTTAAAAGAGCCAAGTGGGATGTTTGTTTGTTTTTTACTTTTACCACCTTGTGTATCTTTTACTTTTACTATGCCTTTTTTGTTTGTTTTGTGTTTACTGGCTGCATCAAGTAAAAGTAATGTGTGTTAAACGAAATTAATGAAAGAATGTGCCAGCTTTTTCAATACACTAAATATTTAGGCTGTACAGGAAATAAACTGGCCGGCATCTCATGTCGGAACCAACGTGAGACATGGACACTGGCGGAGCTTAATTCTCGGTGAACCTCGGGAAGCGGAAGTGCGTGATCCTGGCGTAACGGGCGAAGTTTGTTACATGCCGAGGCTTTTTTTTTTTTGTACATACAGTGGTGTGGTTGAAAATGTATGCTTTTTAGGTTATACAACGGTCGATTTAAGAGAATTATTTTAAGCATGGCCAAAGAGAAGCGACACAGAGAGAAGAGAAAGTCCGGAGCGTGAAGCCGAAGTAAAGATAAAGCAGAAACTGAGCCCTGCTAGGCCACAGAGATCACGCCGCTCCAGGTCGAGATCCCCGGCAACTCCAGTCCACAGAGAGGAGGAACGAGTCGGTGTGTGCACTAAAGTTATCATACCACCTTAATTTTGCCACATGTGTCATATTGATCAACTTGACAACCGTGACAGAGTCAGTTTTTTTGAGTATATCGCTGTAGTACTTACTTGGGCTAGCTACAGCCACTAGTTGCATCTCAACGGTGGAAATCGTGTGAACGGTCGCTTAATACTCTCTTGTGTCTTCATTTAGGTCACCTGCAAGGACGAGGGACCGTTCACCAGGTAGAAGGGGAACCTCTCCCGCCAGAAGAAGCAGCAGATCTCCGAGAAAAAGGAGAAGCCGTAGTCCTCACCACGGGGATGTCAGAGTAAAGCGGTGATTAGTTTCAAATTATTGGGAAACATTTTGCAATTCAGCAGCCACTGGAGTATAAAGTGATCTAGGTGGTATAAAGTACTCATCTGGAATTTACCACAAAGCTTGTGTAACCCAAGTGCTAGTCAGATAGTACTAACAGTCTGAGGCAGTCTGTTTTCTGTGTAGAGACCAACATTGGTCTACAGTTGTCCCATTTTTAATGTTTTTCAGAGGCATCTGGCAGTAATGACAATATATGTCAAACAAACTAGAGCCCACTATTCCATACTGAAGGTAATGCAGTACAACATAATTAACTACTCAAAAATGTAACTGTGTAAGTATTCTGTAATATATGTCACAGGAACGGGATGAGCATAGAGCTAGCGGCGACGAGAGAAGAAGAAGAAATGAGCAACCAGAGGACAGACGGAGTAGGTGGGAATCTGATAGGCCACGGGAGAGAGAGCGCGGTGGGGAGAGGCATAGGGAGCGAAATGCTCTTGCCTCTCAACAAGCTGAACGACAGCAGCAAGATGAGAGACGCAGGGAAAATCGCCAGCGACGTGAAGAAAACCAAGAGCGAGACTTGGGGAGGTCAGAAGAAGAGGGTGATGAGGCAAGCGCTGCTCCTGCTGTGAAAGAGAAGCCAAACTTTGAACTTTCAGGGGCACTCACAGAAGACACAAAACATTTCGGGGAGTGGTGA